TAACTGCTGCCGAGAGCAAGGGGTGAACCACAAAGTAGTCAATCAACGACTGGGCACCCGCAGACTCATAGGTATGGCGATCTGGCGCAACAATGACCCCACCTATGAGCGTTAAGAAGTCCGTATTCTGCAAGTCCTTGGGGGACATGTTCCAGTCCCCTGATATGACAAAGGGGGTGGATATGGTCTTCATGACTGCTGCCACCTGCATCAGTAGCTGGGCATTGCGATCCTCGGCGCCTTCCCCCGTATGCAAATAGACATTGGCCCAAGGGATACCTGAATCCACGACCCCATGCCATAGCTTCAGGATAAATCTCTCTGGAGGGGGCATGACAACAATCGGATCCAATACAAGTTCAGAGAAAGACCTGGCATACTGCGAGACAAGGCCCACTCCTGAACTCAATCCGCCTCTCTGAGTACTAACTGAGGGGTGGAGGTGCGCATGGGACCCATGCCTGTGAGCACGGTTGACTGCGAACTCGATAGCCTCTTCTGCACGACAGAGTTCTTGAAAACCAACAGCATCAAACCGATCAGAATAAGCCTCCAGGAAAATATCGGCATTAGACCAGGAGGTAACGTTCACAGTCACGATGACCCAGTCCCGACGCGGCTTCTGTCCGAAGGCTGACTTGTCGGGCGGGGTCTCCGATGTGTTAAAGGTCAGACGGGCCCTTGGGATTGGAGCCCCCCACCACTGCTGGGGTGTCGGCGGGGCCAGAGGAGGCGGCAGCCGACGGCGAAAACCTTCCTGACTGTCCCGACTGATCAACTGCAGCATCAGGGGCATGAGCAGGACGTTTCGGCGCAGGCGGCAGTGAGGAAGAGGAACGGGGAGGAGCCCTGGCAACACGTGTTGGGGAACCTTGCTGGTCGACAGACATCCTGGGCTCCTCAGACTGGGACCGAGGTTCACTGGCAACACCAACAGGAGCATAGCCAGACATAACGATACCCTGGAGGTCCCGCAACGCCTGAGCAAGCTTCTTGTCTCTCTGCACTGCCTGGGAAGCTGCGAAAACGTCTGCCACGGCTGATGGATCTGGAGGCGTGAAGCCCTCAGGGACTGGCTCGCTCGACGGGAGATCCTGCAACTTAGACTGCCACATAGCCATATCCTGGGCGACCCGCTCCTGACGAGAGCAGAGGGCGTCCCTTTCGCTCTGAAGGTCCAGGATCTTACGATCGAACTCACGGATCTGGCTAGAGATCTGGTCAAACTTCTTACTGGCCCAGTGATGGCGCTGCTTATAGAACGCACGCTTCTGGGGAACGGTAAGCAAGTCGGACTTCTGTGCACGGAGATGCTGCACCTCATCCTGGAGACCCGAGACCTGATCACGAACATACCTGGTGGGCGGAAGCAGGCGAAGGGAATCCAGCTGGCCCAAGAGGGCCTTGATAATCTGATCAATCTGCGTAACCGAGAGCTCATTGCCATTGGTGTCGACACAGCCGCCATCAACGTCGTCGTCGACGTAATCAGCCCAAAAACCACGATCACTGCCAAGACCATCGTCGCCAGAGTCATACCCGAATATATCCTGCACTTCCTCATCCAATGGAGCCTGAAGACGTTCATCCAAAGACCGAACTGGGGGAGTGGCATTACCGTCATCAGCATGACGATCGTGGAAACGAGCACGGGGAGGAGACAAGACACGCTCACTGCCACTGCCTTTGCTCCTGCCTTTGCCGTCTGTGTCGCCTTTGCGACCATGCTTTCCTGGGACCTGTCCTTTGGAGCGGCCAGGAAAAGGAGTACTGCAGAACTTACACTTCTGGCGGGGGTTGGTGTCGGGGATCCACGAAGTCTTGCCAGCATCGCGGCAGACGAGACAGACGAGATATCCCATGGCGCGCCCGTGCGGCTCGGTGGGCAGCACACACGCCAGAACCGTCCGAGCCTGCCGCACGGCTGCGGACAAGCTCGAAGCCTCGCGGCAAGGTTTCGAACTTGAGCCAAAATGGCTACGGAGGAGGAGGGTGACGAGGAGGAGAAGAGGGAGGGGGGGGAGGGTGGGAGGGAGGGAGGGTGGGAGGGAGGGAGGGAGGGAGGATCAGGTAGGAGGAATATGATGGGAGGCTGTCGGAACGGGTGGATGGGGGGTTGGAGGAGGAGGAGGAGGCGGAGGAGGAGGAGGAGGAGGAGGAGGAGGGGGAGGAGAAGGAGGGGGAGGGGCGCCAGGCATGATGCAGGCCTGGGCGGTTTGAGCGTTTTTTTGTTCTCCGACGAAGCAACGGGCAAGATCTTCTTTGCAATTCGCCACGCAGAGAATCGATGCGCAATTTTAAAAGCTGTTTCCCAATTCCGTTTAAATCAAACCTTCTGTGTTCCACAGCAAGGGAAATCCCTTTGTAACGCGCAAGGGCCTTGGACGGCCGAACATCGAACTCGGACTACAAAAAGGATCCCTTTGCGGCGGAATGCGAAAGGATTCCCGCTGTGGCGGGGTACAGACGGATTCTATTTGCTGCAGAATACAAAACCATTCATCTTGTGGCGAACCACAAAGATAATCTTGACGTGGTGGATTACAGAAGGAATCCTTTTTGTGGCGGGATGCACAAGGAATCTGTTTGTGGCCGAATACAAAAGCGTTCCCCTTATGGCGGGATGCAGAATGATTCCCTTGTTGCAGAATAATAGAAGGTTCCCGCAGTGGCGGAATATTACGGGATTCCGTTTGAAGTGAATTGCTGACGGATCCTTTGTTTGGCAGGATACAAAAAGACTTCTTCAGTGGTTGATTACCCAGAGATTCTTTATGTGGCAGCAAATGACGAAAATCCTCTTTTGGTTGAGTACCAAAGGATTACTTTTTGTGGCGGAACACGAAGGACTCGTTGCGCGTCAGAATATTTAAATCCCATTCGTGGTGGAATACTAGAGGATGATCCTTATGGTGGATTACTGAGGGATTCTTGTTTTGGAAAAATACAGCAGAAATCCTTATGTGGTTGGATACCACGGGTTTCGTTATGTGGCGGAATGCATAACTCTTCTCGTGTCGGAGTACAGAAGGGTTCCCCTTGTGGCGGGAGACAAAAGGATTACCTTTGTGGCGGTATACAAAAGGATTCATGTATTCATGATATGGCGGAATACAACAGCAAACGTTGAGCAAGAAACGTTGGCAATAACCAAGCAAGAATAACAAACAACAGAGACACCATTACTTCTGGCAAATATCCCTTGTCCATCGCCAAGATTTTGCCGATATCATGTTTTGCTGGTTTTTGTCACCGGCACTCGCTCACGAAAGGAACCCTTGCTTACTCCGCCTTAAAAAGGGATCCTTTGTCCGCCCCAGCGGGTTCCCTTGGTAATCGACCACAGCGGGAAGCTTTGTGTATTCACTTCACAACTAAAGCCCTCCGCAATCCACCACCTAAGGAACCTCTTGTATTGAGCCACAAAAGGTATCCTTGTGTTTTCTGCCACGAAAGAACTCCTTTCGCACTCTGCCACAGAGGGGGAGCCTTGTGTATTCGGCCACACGAGGATCCCCTTGATACTCCGCCGCGTAAAAAAGTCCCTAGCAATCAACCACAGAAAAAAAGGTTCCTCGTGCATTCTGACATACAAAAAATCCCTCAGTATCACACCACAAAACAAATCCTGTCGCATTCTGCCACGAAAGGGGATCCTTTCGCATTCGGCCACAAGGGGATCCTTCTGCAGTCCGCCGTATGAGAATTTTTTGTAATACTATGCAATTCGGATCCTTTTGACTTCAGCCGCGTGAGGAATCCTTCTGCGTTCCGCCGCACACGGGATTTGTGCATGGTAAGAGCACTGCGTGTGTGGCCGGGCACAAAAAAATCATTTTAGTGGAATGGAAGGAGGTTTCTTTTCAGTTGAATGCGCTTAGTTTCCTTGCGCTTTTCGTCGTTCCGCTCGTCCTGTATCTTCCTCCCCCCCCCTCCCCCCTTCAACCATTGCTAAAAACGGGTTCTTCAGCTCGGGGGGTCGGCAAGCACTGTAAAAAGCATGCTTTGTTCTTCCAAATGTTTGCGCATCCACGTGGGCGCGCATCGATCCCCCAACACCGGGAAAAAGCATGGAAAACCTTTGTGTTGCATGGGTTTCTCAGCCCCTGATCTGAACACCTTCTTTTTTGTAACCGATTCGAGAAGAGGCGCCACGAGCAAAGATGGAGGAAGATAATGAGCGCAATCGAAAGGACAAACTGAATTGATCAGGCGCTCTCCTCCTCCTCCTCCTCCTCCTTTTTCTTTTTTCTCTCCCGCCTCCTCCTCCTCCTCCTCCTCCTCCTATTCCTCCTCTTTCTTCCTCGACGCCAAGCTGGAAAACGCTGAAACCGCCCAGGCCTACATCGTGCCTGGTGCGGGAAGAAGAGGAGGTGGAAGAAGGGGGGGGACGGGCAAGCTGCGTCGGAAGGTTAGTCGCCCACCCCTCGAATAATATCCTACCCAGAGTAAGGAGACATCATGGCCGCGGCCATGCGATCGCCTTCCCCCCAAACATCCTCCCCCTCCGTGCCATCGCTCGGACGTCCATTCCACGTGCATTCTTCGGCTTTGTGCGTTTACTTTATCGTACCCATCGGTCGGAAGAAGTAGGTAGAAACACGAAGTAGGGTACGTTGAAAATAGATTGGGTGTCCGCCCGCCCTCTAAAGAGGACGGACCAGGTGAAGCCACTCGATCATTGAAGTAGGAAGGCGCTTAAAGTAGATTGGAATCTGGGACTCCAAAGATACCTACTTTCAGCGACCGATGAGAAAGATGATCCAAGATGCTCTGGCCATCGCCCTGAAGCAGTGCTCCTCGTCCGAGCGATGCCGCGCCTCTTGGCCGTCCCTGGGGCTGGTGCATGGAAGCGACCCGCTGGCGACCTCGCCAGCGACCTCGACGACGACCTCGACGACGACGACGACGACGACGACCACGACGACGACAACGCCGACGCCGCCGACGACGACGACGATGATGACGGTCGGCCCCGGCGCCCACGCTGAGGCGGGCACCGCGTCGACCTCCTCCGCGCCCACGGTCAAGGCCGGGGCCTCGGCGCTCGCTGCGAAGCGCGCGCCGGGGAAAGCATTTACGGAAGCAGTCACAGCGAGCCCACCGTCCAAACTGCACAGTCTAGGGTGGGGACATTGAGAACAGGCAAGCTGCTGCCATAAGGAACGCTAGGGAAGGAACGAAGTTCGTTTTTGGGACCCGAAGCGCCTGGGTGCACGAGGAGAGCTAAGGAACAACAGCCACATAATGACGCAAGGAACAGCGAGCCTCACCCGAACCCAAATCCCCGCCGATTGGCAAAATGCTGAGTCGTCCTTCGCCGTCCCGCTACAGCCCACACTGCTGCCACACTCGTCAGAGCCACTCTACCTGCTTCCATCCGCGCTCGAGTGGACGTGTAGTTTGTTTCGTTATCGTGTCTGGTTCCAGGGGCATGTGATCGTGCTAGTCATTCGTATCGCTGTGATCCCATGCGGCCCTGCATTGGGAGCTCCATTTCTGTCTTCGTGGCTCTGGCAAGCGAATCTGCGCGGTCTGTCACAGACTGGCGTGCGGCAGCTACGTAGATATTTTAGGTTGGTGGGTGGGGGGCCACGCAAATCAAATCCTGATCACGCCGCAACGCCATCACCTCCACCACCATCATCACCACCAGGAACCATCATCGCGATGTGATGCTATGACAAGCACACATGATGAGACCACGACGCTTTGAAAGCATGCAACATGGCATAACACAACGACGCACTTGCCCGACCATGAGCAAGCGAAACTGCATGACCGCAACTCGCTGCAGCGAACCCTGGCACACAGGCGAACCGTCGCACGAACGACGTGAACACGAAGCATGCACGCATTTCTATGGTGGAGGTGACTTCGTGGACGCTCTCACGCGGGCGACAAATGAAACGTGGTCTCCCGCACGACGACTTGGCGACCTCACGCGGAAGCTTATGCGGGCCGCCAGCGCGTCATGCCGCGAAGAAATTAGCCGTGAGACGTCACGCGCGCGGGCAACTTTCTCGCGAATGTCCGCACAATCGACTCCACTGAAACACGTCGCTCGAATGCCAAACATCCGTGATGAAGGATGAAGCGTCACGACCATGGTCGCGCTATCACCGTAACGTGCAAGTGCGTCCGTTGCGCGTTCGGCTGCGAGCCGCCCATGTGCCGGGCCAGCGCCAGGAGAAATCAGGAATCACCATCGCACTTGCACAAGGACAACCGTTGTCCCCGCAGAGCTGGGTCCGAGCGCCTCGGGATTTTCGGGCGTTGCTTAACTGGAGGGGGGGACGATCAACGGCGGGGGGGGATGAAACGTGCGTCTTCGTATTCTCTTCGGGGCCTCAGGGGGGCCCTCCGAGGCCCCGAAGTGCACGAATGGTGCCCCTTTCCTCGGCACCCCTTTTTGTTAGCGCCCACCCGCTGCCAGCTGCGCGCCGCCCGAGATGCCTGAGCGATGGTCTCCAGAACGTGTGCTGCAGCGCCAACGTGCGCTTATCCGACGCAAGCAGCCCGACGAAGGCCGACGCGGCTTACGTGCGGTCGGCGGAGCGGAACGGAGTGAGCACACATTTGGGACTGGGCTGCAATAGGTGCTCGACCACAAGACACCTTCCCCAAGAAACCCAACCCTGAGACCCCAGGATGTCCGTTGGTTTTCGGTATGGGGACGTCGCGTCTTCCATCGTAGAACCATCGGAACCCAAGAAACCCAGGGCACCCTGGAGGCAAGCAGGGCGTCTCTTGGCACAGGTTTCCACCATAATCTGTAATAAGCGTCCTGAGGACCACCGATCTGACGCCGACGATTCTGAAGAAGGTGCTGGTTGGCGCGGGGAGCAGGAGGAGCCGCAGCACTGGTGGCCGAGGCTGCGGCAATGCGCAACACGTTGCCCGCCCCCGCCGTGAGCAGCAGAAGCCCCTCCGCCTGCGCCGCCTGTCGGGGGCGAGGGCTGGCGCGCGAGAGGAGGTTGCGCGCGCGAGTGGGGGCGCTCAGCTGGCGCCGCGCTGCGAGGGCCCCGCGTTCGCCCCGTTCCGGGCCCTGGGGCCCGCTCGGGCCGGCACGGCTTTCGAAAGGTTTGCGCAGGGCCCAGGGCTGCAGTGCTGATCACAATTATTTCACAGCGTCGGATCTCAGAGGGGGTGGCGCGAGGGGATCGGCCTCCCGGGGCGGCGGGGGGGGGGCTTCTGAGGAGGCAGGGGTCTTCTCGAGAAGGGCCCTCCCCGCTTCTGACCTCAACAGGTCTGTAGTACCCCCTATACCCCCCAATAGTGGGCAAACGGGAGGCACGCGTGCCAAGGAACATACAATGACGGATGCGGAAAAGTGGGGGATGGTGATGGCGCCAAGCTCTGCAAGCATTGGAAGTGCGCGAGTGCTCCGACACGCCGGCGAGCGACGATGACGAGGCAGCCACGGATTACAGCCCTCCTCGAACTCGTCGCCTAACGTTGTCTGACTCGGCAGTGCCGCCGAATCGACGGGCAGGGAGGCCGCGGAGGCCAGGGGGGCCAGGGGAGGCCAGGACGACTCGACGACGACACGAAAATGCAGAAATCCCAAGAAGCCTGAGGGGGGCGGGGGAGGCCAAAGAGGCCAGAGGAGGGGGGAGGCCAAAGAGGCGGGGGGCGACCAGGGAGGAGGGCCAGGGGACACCAGGGAGGCCAGGGAGGCCCGGGGAGGTCACGACGACGCGACGACGATACGAAAATCAAACGCTATGCGCCCCGGGGGGGAGGGGGGAGGCCAGAGAGGCCAGGGAGGTGCGGGAGGCCAGGGCAAGGATGCCACGCGACACGAAAACGCACCCTGGAGTTGGCGGCCGGGGAGGGGAGGCCAGGGCTGGTGAGACGGAGTCCCGAGGCCAGGGCAGGGAGGCCAAGAGGGAAGCCAGGGCAAGAGGAGGCTAGGGCCCAGGGCTGGTTGGGGAGGGGTCTGAGAGCCAGGGCAGGGAGGCCACCAAGGAAGCGAGGCCAAGAGGGAGACCAGGGAGGTACGGGCAGGAGGAGGCCAGGGCTAGTGGGTAGGGGTCCCAGGGCCAGGGCAGGGAGGCCACCGGGGAGGCCAGGGCGGGGTTCCAGGGACGGCGGCGCGACACGAGAAGAAACCCTGGAGGGGCGACCAGGGAGCCAGGGAGGCCAGGGCCGGTGGAACGGGGTCCCGACGCCAAGGCAGGGAGGCCACGAGGGAGGCCATGGAGGCCAGGACAGCAGGAGGCGAGGGCTCGAGGGGCGGGTTTCAAGGGCCATGGCAAGGATGCCACCCGAGGGGCCAGGGCAGCGGGGCCAGGGAAGACGACGCGACACGAAAAGAAGCGCTGGATGGGGGAGGCCAGGAAGGCCAAGGCTGGTGGGGCGGGGTCCCGGGGCCAGGGCAGGGAGGCCACCGGGGAGGCCAGGGCAGGGCGGCCAGGGACGACGACACCACACGAAACTTAGCCTTGCCGGTGGGACGGGGTCCTGAGGCCACGGCAGCGAGGCCAAGAGGCCAGGGATGCCAGGGCAGGAGGAGGCCAGGGCTGGGCATGGAGACTACCAGGGAGGCCAGGGCAGAGCTTCCAGCAGGGACAACGACAACACGGCACGAAAAGAAGCCCTGGAGAGGGGGCGGCCAGGGAGGGGAGGCCAGAGCTGGCGGCACCCGCCAGGACCACGGCCGGAGGAGGCCAGGGCCAGATGGGGGCGCCCCCCCCCCCCCCAGCCCTGGCCTCCTCCTGCTCTGGCCTCCCTCTCCGGCCCTGGCCTCCGGGACCCCGTCCCACCAGCCCTGGCCTTTCTGGCATCCCTGGCTGCCCCATCCAGGGCCTCTGTTCGTGTGGTGTCGTCGTCCCTGGTCCCCCAGCCCGTGCCTCCCCCCCCTGGCCCCAGGACACAAGCTTCCCGGGGAAAGGGCAGGGAAGCCACCAGGGAAGCCGGGGACGAAGACTCGCCACGAAAATAAGCTCTCGAGAGGGGGCGGCCAGGGATGACACGGCCGGCGGGACAGGGTCCCGCAGCCGGAGGCCACCAGCAGGGGCCAGGGCTGGAGAGCCAGGGACGACGCGCGACGGGAAAAGAAGCCCTGGAGGGGGCGGCCAGGAGGGCCAGGGCTGGTGGGACGGCGGGACGGGGCCCTGGGGCCCTGGGGCCAGGTGAGGCCTTGGCACATTGGGGCCATGGCAAGGAGGCCGCCACGGAGGCCAGGGCTGGGGGGGGGGGGCAGGGTCGACGAACGCCACGGCAATGAGCCCTGGAGGGGGCAGCCAGGGCGGCCAGGGCTGGTGTCCCGAGGCCAGGGCATGGAGGCCAAGCGGGAGGCCAGGGCAGGCCAGGGGGCGAGGTCCCAGGGACAGGGGCGACGAGCGACACGACGAGAGAAGAAGCCCAGGAGGGAGAGGCCAGGGAGGCCAGGCCCAGTGGGGCATGATCCCGAGGCGAGGGCATGGAGGCCAAGAGGGAGGCCGAGCGGAAGGCCAAGGCAAAAGGAGGCCAGGGGGCGAGGTTCAAGGGCCAGGGACCACGAACGACACGAGGAGACGAAAAGGCAATGCCGCGTGAGATCGCACCGGCAGATAAGACAATGGCATGCTTCCCTGGGGGGCGAACTGAAAGTTGCCGACGCCCAGCTAAGCTCTGCAACAGAGAGCTCCTTCGCTGCCGCCGCCGCCGTCGTCGCCCCATACAGGCCGGGCGGTCTTCTGCGCAGCTCCCGTGCCTTCTTGAATCGGGGATGGACAGGAGCCCCTTTCGTAAAACGTGTTTTAGTGAAAACGACCTCGGGCCCAAACCTGGCGGGCGCAAGCCTGGGAGATGACGGCCGCGGCGCCCTCTCGAGAACCGAAAACGGACAATTCACTAATCGACGCGTCAGGGCAGGAGGTCTGTCCACCCCCGATTGAAGGTCCCCTGGAAGGCCCCCGCCCCCTCGCGCCAACCCGCCCGCGCCGGCGCGCGCGCCCAGGAGTCGGAGGCCGAGGCTTCGATGGGGAAGACCTGGGATCCGCCTGTTGCCCTTTTCCTCCACATCCGGGGGCCGATCTCGGGCCCCGCGACGGTCAGACGCCGCTCCAGGATGAAGAACTGGCCAGGATGGGTCCCGGCGGGGGGTCTGGAGACTGGCTTGGTGCGTTTTCTGTGGAAGCTGGCAGCGTATACTTTCTGGAAGGGGTCTCTGGAGGCTTCGGGGGGCTCCTGGCGGTCTAGAGTTTAGAGGAGCAGCGGGCCAGATCCCCAAACGACCCGCCCCCCCCTCCCCCACCACCCTCTCCGTGACCGCACTGGGGGAGAGGGGGGAGGAGGGGTGGAGGAGGCAGGACGTGAGGGAACCGACACATGCCGATGCCGCTAACGCCCTGGAAGTCTCCAGGGATGTGCGACGAAACCTTCGAGGGGAAGCCCGCCGCTGCGACGAGGGCCGTCCAGGACGAGCAGCGGCAATGGTATCTTCACCTCCCCTGAGGAAGAGGAGGCAGAGGGGGGGGACCCAGAGATGGTTTTCATACATTTTTCGGCGATGACCCGCCTCGAGTTCTTCGGCCGCGTCGTAACGTCTGTGGTGTGCTTCGGGGCTGGTGTATGGAAGCCGTACAGGGACTCACTGCATAAAGTTGACGTGGAATTCAGGCGATTGTTGCGGCAAGTTGTTGGTCCGCCTGCCGGCGCGGACTGGTCGCAGCCTTGGCATGAAATCTTACACCTCTGGCACGAGCGGCTCAATCAAGCATTGACCCAACATTGCACTCGCACGTGGTCGAGAGAATCCCTGAAGAAATATTGGGATTTTGCATATTATGTTGCGAATTTACCTCCGGAGCGATGGGTGCAGAGAGCCTTGCGCTGGACACCGCCTGGGTCGCGCTCACAGGGTCGTCCTCTCATGTCGTGGGATGAGAACCTGGTGGCTTTTTGCCGAACAAATCACATTGGATCGTGGCAAGAAGCCGCGCAAGACGACGCTGCCTGGGCAGATATGACGGAGGACTTCTTGGATTTCTGCGAGTGAGCACGCCCGCCGCTTTCTGCTTGCACTGTAACTTGTTTTCCCTCGCGCCCTATATGGGCCCGCCCTCGTGCGAGCGGGGTGACTTGACTTGACTTGACTTCGGCGATGACCCGGATCTTCTGTCCTCCTCCTCCTCCTCCTCCTCCTCCTCCTCCTTCTCCTCCTCCTCCTCCTCCCCATGGGTGGAGGGGGGAGAGGAGGGAGGCCCCCTTCGGGCCTGCGCGACCGACACGGCCAGGTGCTCTCCAGGGGCACGGGCCCGAGAGCCCTGGGTGACCGGCGGACCCTTCAAACTCGGGGATGGACAGACCTCCCTTTCGTAAAACGTGGTTTAGTGAAGACGACCTCGGGCCCAAACCTGGCGGGCGCAAGCCTGGAAAATGACGGCCGCGGCGCCCTCTCGAGAACCGAAAACGGACAATTCACTAATCGACGTGTCAGGGTATGAGGTCTGTCCACCCCCGAAAAACCCGGCCTCCAGGGGATGGCTTTCCCTGCTCGTCCTCGTTCGCTCCGGCGCCCCGCCGCGAGAACCACACAGCAGCGGCCTGGGGGGCACCGCGAGGCCCGAGCGTGCTGGCCCTGCCGAGCGCTCCAGAGAGGCAGCCCCAGCGCGAGCCTCGATGCCTCCCGCGCTTTCTGGCTCGAGTGCTGCCTCGCAGGAGGGCCCGGCGGGCACTCGCCCCGGCGCCCGTGTCGGGGCGGCACATACGATAAGGCAAATCTTGCGGTTAGCCATCGAGGGGCACGTCCTTCGTCGCCTCGGAGCTGTGTGGGGTGCCCCAGCGCTCTGCGGGCCCAGGGTACAGTACGTTCTCGTAGGGCATCCGTTGGCTGGCCAATTCCTTGTTTCGCGCGCCTGCTCGCACGTAATCCCTTAAGAATGAACGGCCCACGGTGCCGGCTTGTTAAGGCGCCTTTTGGGGAAGCAAGGCGTGTCTGTTATATATATATATATATATATATATATATCATATGTTTTAAAACCAAAAAAAATAAACAAACAAAAACGGTTTATCAACATCGAAGCTCAGGGGATGCCTGTTTACAAAGGCGCCTTCGCGTGCTTTTTCTGTTCGAAGTTCGGGAACGCTCGTATCCAGTTTCTTGTTCGCAATCGACGTTTTGCGAATCATCAACATCAGCAATTACCATCATGAGCTTCCTCCTCATCATCGTCCTCACCATGCTTATCACCAAGAGTCGCCGTGAAAATTATCATATTCATCGCTCGAACAATCATCAGCGTCGTCGTAATCATGGTCACCACCATGCAGACATACATTGGCCCCCTATATTCGGCTCCCCGAAACCATACACCCTAGCATATTACACTGTGTTCGCGTTCCCGAGGCCATAATTCCTGGTACATTACACAATATTCGCGTCTCTGCAGCAATTCTCTCCCGTACATTAATCAACATCTGCATCCCCGAAGCCGCGATCCCTCGGAAATTAAGCGTTCTTCGCGTCCCCGAAATCATAAATCCTTGGACTGTACGCAACATTCGCGCTTTCGAGGCCACAAACCTTCAGAAAGGCCCCCAAGACGGTACAAGAGGCCTCCGAGACGGCCCAAGAGTGCTCCAAGGCGCCCAAGATGGTCCCAAGACGGCCAAAGAGGCTCCCAAGAGGCCCCCAGTAGCGCTGCAAGAGCACCCCCAAGAGGGGCCCAAGAGGCCAATACCTGCGATGATCCTCAGGTTTTAGATGGATCTTGACACGCTCATATCTCAAGTGGCCCCCGTTCGGAGTTCCGACGCTGCTTCACGAAGGCGCGCAAGCCTCACTTAGCTCTTGCATACCCAGTTCTCCGAGACGAGGGGGCCGGCGGCAGGGGGCGAAACCCTTGCGGATATAGAAATATTGCGATCGCCGCCGTCACCGTCAACGTCATCACCATAATATCCGCCGTGTTACTCTTCACTCTCACAAGCACTTTAAGCTATGATAGTGCCGTCGCCGTTGATAGTTCAAGGATTTCGCGTGTATAGCTGTCTGGCGGTCTCATGCGGGCGGACCTGGGACAGAAACACATCCTTCAAGAATATTAGACCCTCCGCTGGCACAAACTGAAGAACATTCGGGAGTGCCCTCCCCCCCAGTATGCACAAGAGCATCCAACAAACACAAGAACGTTAGGGTGCCCTTCGCGATGTGACCCGATCTCATAATTCGGTCCGACCGTATGCACAACCGATGCTATGAATGTCATGACCCCCGCTCGGAAATCGGATGGTGCTTGGAATCGGACTGCGATCGTTCCACGCCATAGTATTTCTCCGCAGAAATGCCCTTTGAAAAGGTGTGTGTGTGTGTGTGTGTGTGTCTCAGGCTCCACCCCCGCAGTGCAATCCATTGCCATTATTTTCGCCATCGCGCCCGACATCGTGAATCGCGCATGCAATTTCGCAGGGGGGGATCAAGGCTCCCCCCTTCGAGGGGGTGCCGGAACATTTTCCTGCAACGGAAGGCGGATGCCGGTTTTTTGAAGGGGGTGGAGGGGGCGTTGATCAAGGGATTGAGTACTGTGCGCGGGGGGCTCGGCGGTGGCGGTGGCGGCGCCAGCCCTGCCGAGGGTGGAGGACGAGGGCGGGGGAGGATTCTGACGTGGGCCGCAAGGCTGCGAAGGAACGTCTCGGGGCTGCCCAGAGGGCGGGGGTTGAGGCGCGCAGGCGCAGGGGGCGGCTGCAGGGGCGGGAAGGCGGCGGGGCGATGGCCCGGCAGGCAGAAAGAGGGGAGGTGCGAGCGGGCGCATGCGCAAGGTTCGCGAGGGAGGGCGCCAGGGGGAGGCGAGAGCGGGGGCGACCAGCCACGCGAGGAGATCGAGAAACCTTGGACTATCCATGCTCCGCGGGTGCGAACCACACGCGCTGTACGATGCCTCATGCCGCAGATGGCGGCACGAGCGCTCCGCAGTCCCATTCGGCAGCTGCTCTTTGAGACACTCAGAAGCTGCCATTTTTCTTCAGAGAGGCATCGGGCACGAACCGTATCACTCCCTTCTGCCACACGCGGCCACCACACGCTGCCACCTCGTCCCCGTGGGCTCCACTTGATATGCGCAACGGACGCAGGCATGGGCCACCCTCACGCCTCCACGGCCCCTGCAGTCGCTTACCCCCAGTCTTCCTACGTCTCCCCCTCTTTGCCCTCCTCCACCTTTCCACCCAGGGCCAGATCATGCAAACTCTGTGGTGCAGAGCTGGGGAAGCATGTATGCAAAGGAATGGCGGCCATGACCCATTTTTCTTTTAGCTCCACGCTCCAGGCCACCACATCCCCGAGAGGGGAATTATACTCGCCGCTGCGGAGGGGGAAGCAGCGAGCAAGGCAAGCAGGCAAGCACTGACTCCCAGTCAGAGCTGTTCGAAAAATGCGCATCCGCAACGGCCTCCGACCTGGTACCTTCGCCGCGCAGTTGGTGACGTACACAGGCGAACGCAGCATCGCTCGAAGGGGCCGCGGAATGAGGAGAGGAAACACGGCCCTGCCACCAATGCAGCACCATCGCGCGACAGACACGCCGAGTATCTGCCGCACGCCTTTGGCTCTGCGCGCAGGCCGCTCTCAAAATTTGCCCGATGCTCCGAGACGCGCTCTCCGGTCGTCGGGCAGCGAATGGCCCAGCTCTTCTTCTTCTTCTTCTTCCTCCTCCTCCTCCTCCTCCTCCTCCTCGTCCTCCTCTTCCTCCTCCTCTTCTTCCTCCTTCTCCTCCTCCTCGTCCTCTTCTTCATATTCTTCCTGCTGCTCCTCCTCCTGCTCCTCCACCTCGCCCCCACCCCTCCCACACCCTCGCCCCGCTCTTCCTCAAGCTTTTCTTCCAATGGGACGCACAAAGGCATAACAGTACTAGATGTCCTCCTTGGAGCTGTGCGTCCGACCCGAGCATCTATCATATCCATCTTGTAGTGTCTCGTTTCCCGAGCGGTGTGGCCAGAACGCGCCCGCCACAGAGCTTATACTGCTGCAGGGTTTCTTGGCGCGCGCGCGCCCCTCGCTCCTGGGGGGAGGGGAGGGGGCGATGCACTGCACGCATGGTATTAGTATGATGGGGTGGCTCCGATCCAGCTCGTCCTCCACCTGCCTCTCCTCCCCCTTCCATTCCCGCCCCCCCTGCTCCCCTCCAACGGCGCCTCGAGGTCCTTGGGGCCCTTGGGGCCCTGGAAGCGTTCCGCGGCAGGGTTTCAACACTGGGCCACGTACCGTAACTCGCCGTCGCCGTCGTCGATATCATCGTCGTCGCTGTCTTCTGTCAATTCCTGGCCTATCCCCAGGTCCATCCAGACCCGTTCTCGGAGCCGCGCCCAGCCGTTACGACGATGCCCCCCTCCAACGGCAAGCAAAAACGAGGAGGATGCCGTCGTCGTCGTCGCCGTCGCCGTCGTCGTCGTGGTCATCGTCCTTCGCGGCGCCTTCTGCACAGAGCCGCAGGCCGCGGCGTCTGGGAAGACCACGCCGTTGAGAAGCCCCAGGCCGCGCACCTCTGACGGGGGGCGAGCGGATCCGTAAAGCCTCCATCAAGTGAAACCTCAAAGTAAGTAGTCCCTTCCCTTGTGAGAACACCAAACCACTGCCCACCTGTTGTGGCCCAGGCACGGCTCCTTTCTGGATTGGAGCCCAGCGTTCAGCCCTCCTCTGATAGGTCTCAAGCAGTCTCCCCCTTTGCTGTTGTTATTTTTCTTCTCTGGGTCTAAGACACTAGAGTAACTGCTGCATGGGGCCCAACATAACCCCACGCTGCTTGGACCCAAGAAACATCATTGCTTTGGGCAGGGCCCCAACAAGGTCACTTCCTGTTGCCGCCACCAAGCACATCCTGTGTTGAGACCTGCTGAACGCCTATTTCTGTCGGGGCCCAGGCAAGGCCCTCCCTGCTGGGGCCCAAGCAGAGGCCTCCCCAGCAGGAATTCAAGCAATGCCCCTGCCCCGATGAGACACATGCAAGGCCTCTCCTGCTCTGGTGGGGCCCCACATTCGGCAACAGCGCTTTGGAGACCCAAAGAAAGCCTCTCTCTGCTGGGGCTCAGGCAATGATCCCATTCCGCTGTGGCCCAAACAATGCCCTCTTCTGGCTGCGCTCACGGAAGACCCTGACTTGGCCTCCGGGCGCGGCCCCTGCCTGTCCGGACCCCAGAAGCGCCCTTCACCTTCATCGTCCCACACACACAAACACACACACACTTACTCGCTCACCGCCATTCATATGCCCACTTGCACGCTTGCTTTCCCGCTCACGCACTCGATTAGCTACTCACGCCCTCACCCACGCACTAACTCGCCACCTCCCTCTCCGTCAGTCTCCGCTTGTCCGTCAGACGACGACGAGCGGCGCCTCCATGCCGCGGGGCTCCGCCAGGCGCCGCAGGCCCGAACGCAAGCGCTCGCCCATGGCCGTCACGTTGTCCAGGAACGCAGGGTCGCTCACGCGGTCTAGCCTTCGGCCACGAAAAGGAGGAGGCGGAGGAGGATGAAGCCCGTAAACCCCGACATGAGGCGGGTCTCGTGACTGCGGCATGCCTGCGTGGCTGCAACCTGTCACCTCGACGAAACTGGTGGGAACTCCATGCAGGCTCCAACGCAACCCACCACAACGAGGAGGACAAGTATGAGGAGACTTTCGATGCGCATTTATGGTTGTATCTCTGTGGGCCCCTTAGAAAGCTCCATAGGCCTCCAGGGACCTCCAGAGACCTCATTGGAGGTCTGGGGAAGGATGATGATGAGGTGGAGGAGGAGACGGACGAGGAGGGACAATCGAAGGAGAACGCGCGCGAGGTCGTCGTATTGTGCACTCGGAAGTAAATTTGATCTCTCCGAGGGCTGCCCAGGCGCAGCCTAGGGCAGGTGGAAGCGGCCGAACCTCCCGCAGGGCAGCTCATCGCAGCGCCCGCGAGGCCGTTCGGGCCATCTGCTGTAGTGCGAAGCCTGCCGCGCCGGCGGGGCTCCGCGCAGCCCACACCAGGAGCAGACCGTCTTCCTGACGTGGGAGAACTCGTGTGCGCGCTCCAGGGGCCATGGTCGATCCGAAGTCGACGGCGGCTGGAGAGGCGAAGGCGGTGAACTTGGCGGCCTTTTTGGCCTCCTCCGGGGATCGAGATCTCACCGAAGGCGGCGTGTTCTCCCCAGAGCGCCGACGACAGCATCCCCAGGAGTCGCCGCGGCGACCTCTTTCGGGCAGCGCCCATGTCTTAGGGGGGTGGATGGGGGGTGGCACGCCGACCTGGAATCCGCAAAGTTTCGAGGAGATGGGCGTGCGGGAAGGCCAGCTCCTTCCTCACTCGCGGTGTCGGCTGCACGTGCGGGAGCACTGTCGGGAACTTCTGCTTAGCGTGTCGCGGCGGCGGCACTGGCGACATGATATGCCCTGCGAGCGGTAAGCGTGTCGCTCCGCTGCGCGGGGCGGAAGACTTCGAAGGGCTCGGGACATTGACGCTCGGGGATCGCGACGTGGATGGCGCGTCGCTCCGAAGCGTGGTGGACAAACTGGCAGAACGACAGGCTATCCAACAGTTCCGGACCGTGTATCCTCGACGTCGGCCGTGCTCAGAGAGGCGATCGTGGTGATCGCGAGAGATTCTGACTCATTTGTTGTGACACGAGAGTCTTTCCTTTGTCGGCGCGTGGCGTTGCTTCCTTCCCTGTATGAATCCAGGGGCCCGTGGCGTACACCTAATTTGAACACACCTCTCACGGGACGCGCACCGATCGACACCTGAACCTGGCACTTGTGAGCCATCCAGCTCCACCCAACCCGAGTCCACCTCACCTCAGCCGCCACAGCGTTGAGCTGTCCTGGCCGAACTCGGAGCGGTTCCCTCGAAATGCAAACGATGGATCTCGGCCGGAATATCTGCCAATGCCCTCGCCTTGAGACCGAGTTGGCAGACGCGCGTTCCGAGTGAAAGTGCTCCAGCGTTGCCTTTGTGCATTCTGGCAGCTGGTCTCCTCCCCCGTACTCTCAGACACCCCGCGGGAGCGAGCTCCCCTTCATCCCTCCTCTCCCCTCCTCGCCTCTTGCCTGGGAGCGGGTCGGCAGCGACCACACCAGGTCACATTGAACGCGCTGTAAGTGTCTCTCGTATCCTCACCACGACAGATGGGCCTGCCAATGCGCTAGTGGATCCTGCCGCCACCTTCGTCGACTCCTAGGCTCAAGGGGGTGGTGGCCTGTCGTGGGTAGGACCTACCCTCAGGTCACATGCTGGTCCCCGTCTTTTGCCTTTTCTCCCATGCCTTCTCCCTCCCTCTTCTCTCGCTTCATTTGTCTCACTTGCTCCCCCCAGCCTGCCTGCCTCCTTCGCTGCCTCTCTCCCGCACCCCCTTGCTCTGTTCCTGACCCCTCGCTTCCCTCTGACCCCAACATTCTCATCCGCGTCTCCCGTTACGCTTGTAGTTCCCCGCGCACTGCAGAAGCCCTGCGCAAGGAGGAGCCGCACACGACAGCAATGACGAGTGGAATGCGATGCAAGCGAATGAGGGTGAGGAGGCGGATCGTCAGAATGGCGCTGGATGGTGACGAGCATGAGGACGAGGACGACAAGGAAGCGCCTGGTGCGGGCTAGGCGGACTGATGGCACCCTGCAGGGCTGCACAGACGAGGGTAGGCAACCACATGTCCATCCTAAATATGAATTTGCACTATCCGGGGGGGTGCGGTATTGCTCCCCCTGAGGTTCCCTGTAAAAAACAATACGCGGCGACATTTGTTGCTCTAACATAAGACTTTGTTCGCGAATCCCTTGCAAAACATGGGACGAAGTGCACACGCGCGCGTCGTCGCGCGCGCATGCCGAAATCCTTCAAAAACCTTCGGTGTCGGAAAGAGTTCTCAATCGAGTTTCCAAACAAAAATGCAAAAACACAGGGTTTCGCAGCACTGTCTTTCTAAGAAAGCTTACGCGCGAGTTCTTGCAAAATCTCAAGAAAACCGGCCGGCGCTGGCGGCGGCCTGCAGCGCCGGCGCTGGCGCCGGCGACGGCGGGGACGCAGCGACGATTACCACCCATCACCACCACTACCACCACCACCACCGCCTCAACCCACCACCACCATCACCAACACACCACACAACCACCACCACCACCACAGCCACTACCACCACCACAACCACCACCACCACAACTTACCATCACCACCACCACCACAAAAACCCACCACCACTACCAGCACCACCACCGCAATTCACCACACAACCAACACCACAACCATCACCACTACAAGCAGCACAGGCCACCACCACCACAAACCACCACACCAACACCACCACCACCGCCACCACCACCACCAGCAGCACCACCTCCACAAACCACAGCCACCACCACAACCACCACCACCACCACCACAAACCACCACCACAAACCACCACCACCATAAAACCACCACCACCACAACCCACCACCACCACCACAAACCACCACCACAAACCACCACCAAACCACAAACACCACCACCACCACCCACCACCACAACCACCCACCACCACAAACCACCACACCACCACCACAACCACCACCACCGCCACCACCACCACCACAGCCCACCACCCCCACCACCACCGTCGTCCTCGTCGACGCTCCCCGCCGCCGCCGCCCGCGCCCCAGGCGCTGGCGCCGGCCCAGAAAAGAAAATCGTCGTCCCCGCCGCCGCCGCCAGCCGCCGCCGACGCAGGCGCCGGCCCGAGGAGTGGGAAAGAGGAAAAGTAGGGGGGAGGGGGTCGAACCCCCCCCCCTCCATCCAGGGAGGGGGTTCCGGTTCCAACGCACCCCCCACTCCAAGCGACCACAGAACGCGCTCTCTCGTAGACGTGCACACCTATTGCGTGCATGTACGTGCCCGCGTATGGCATGTATGCACATAGTCTCGCGCGCATGTGCACGCGCACGCACGCCGCCCGCGCGCGAAACTCGAAGGACCAAGGTGCATGGAGCCAAGCGCCACTGCAGCCTTCTTTATATATATATATGTATGTGTATATCTAGATCTATATATCTAGATATGGCGCAACCTAGAATGCGTAACGTAGATTGCTCCACATAGGTTGCAATACACGCGTTGCACCACACTTCGCAACATAGATTGCACAACACCTTGTGCAAAGCATGTATTGCAACGCCATGCTTCCTCCACGTAGATTGCTCCACACGGGCTGCACAACAGTTGTCTTACCTCATAGATCGAACCGCTGCCGCTGCACAACACAGGTTACATCGCGTAGATTGCAGAACATAGAGTGCAACACATGGATTGCGCCACGTCGATTGATTCAGCTAGATCGCACAAAACATAGAGCTAGAACCATACTGTGTGGGTCCACGCTGACTAACGTAAAGAACTAGGCCTGTGCATCGGTCCTGCTGACTTATGGCCGCCAGTCGCGACCGGGCGCCGTCACCCGTCGCCGTACCATTTTGGTCACGCTTTTGATTCTACGAAGCTCGCAAATTGGGACCGTGCGCCCTCTCTGGGTGGCTGGTGGCTGCCCGTCGCCGCCCGTCGCCGCCGTGCATCGCCGCATCATTTTGGTTACGACTCTGACTGCGCCATGCTGGCACTTCGCATGGCTAGGCGTTGCTCTGCACCGCTTTGCGCCACGTAGCTCGCACCACACACATTCTCCTTTCTGGAAGGGTATTAGGATCGACCCCCCACCGGGGGTCAACGGTGCACCATCGCATTGTAATCTACATCTGACTCTGCCGCATCGTCCATCCCAGATGTGAACGCATACTATCCCAGCCAAGCCTGAGATCGCCCCCCTACTCCTATGCAAACCAATCTATGCGCGCACGCTCGTTCATCCCAGATCAGCAGTTCCCAAAGATCCTTCGCAACAGAACAAACAAACGAAGCGCGCGACGACGCATGCCGAAATCTTTGAACAACCTTAACTGGGATCTGAACGATTTCGAAGTCGAATGCCCCGAACACACTTAAAACAACACGCAATTTCGCAACAACGCTGTCCAAAACAAAAAATAAGCCCGCGCCCTTGCGATTTTTGTAACAAAAAACATGTTCATAACATGCTACCAAGAGGGACTCTTTCGCGCAGGTGTCGAAATCGCGCGCGTGCTGTCGCAGGAGCCTCTCGCAACAAATGGGACGACGCGCGCACGCGCGCGTCATCGCGCGCGCATGCGGGACTCCTTCAAAAACCTGAGGGCCCCCCAAAAAATCCAAAACGAGTGTCCCAAACACGCGCGTTTTCGAACAGGTTCACCGAATTCTGCAAAACAGGCCTCTCGCGCCGCATGTCAAGTTCATTCGAACGCCCTTGCGCGCGGTCGCGGGGGGGGAGGCACGATCCGTTTCAAATAATACGACGCGGACCACTCGCGCGCGTCGGCCGCGCGCGCATGCCGGGCCCTTTCAAAAACCTTCACCACCGACGAGAGGACATCGTCAAAATTATCGGCGGGCGTGAACAACATTGGCGCCGTCATTGGCCTTGCCGTCGTCATCGCCACCATCGCCACCATCATCGCAACTACCATGATCGCGTCTACCATTGCCGGCTCCGCCATGGCATCGACTCGCACTGAAGTGCCCTCTGGGAAGTGCTCAACGGTCATCGCCACCGCGGCCGCGTCCGTCGCGCTGCACTAGCTGGCCGCTGCGCGGCCGCAAAGATGCACCAGCCAAAGCCGCATGGCAATCGCCGCCGCATGGGTTTTGCAAACCAAGTTGCGGGTAGGTGGGTGGGATGATCACGCGAGTAGTGGAGTTGACAACTCACTGCGAGCATTGACAATTTGCACCACGTAGATTTAGCTCACACCACAGAATATGCTAGAACACACTGTTTCGGGCCCACGCCCCCGCTGGCTAACATTGGTTTGAATTCACGCATGTAGGCACGTGGTTTTCTGTATCATTAGCTCGCTCGTTGCAAGATGGTGAAACCATTGTACTTACTTGTGCGTTGATTAGTTGCTCGCGCGGCCGATAGACTTGTACCTGTAGCCTCCCCCTATCTCCTGCGCTCGCTCTCGCTCCCACCCTCGCTCCCGCTCTCGCTCCCACTACCCTTTACCTCCCCTCTCCCCCTCCAGGGACAGTTTACTTAATTAGGTAGGGAATGAACGGCCGACTGGTGACGACGACGATGACGACGAAAGGGTCCATAAAATTAAGAAACCTCGACCCTCACACGGTCCGGCCTCGAGCCTCCAACGGCGAACGACGACGACCACCTCGTCGTGGGGCGACGGGGACGACGACGCCGACGGCGTCGACGACGACCGCGACGCCTTCGTCGTGAAGCGGCAACGACGTCGACTTCGACGACGTCGACGACGAAAAAGCACGACGACTTCGTCGTGAGGCGACGGCGACGTCGACGGCTTCGACGACGACCGCGGCGGTCTCGTCGTGAAGCGTCGGGGGCGACGGGGCCGACATCGTCGCAGGCCGCCAGCCCGCCGCGCGACACGCCGAGGCCCCAGCGTGTAGTTCGCGGCCCTGCACACCAGCGGGGCGCCGGCGAAGGTGCTGCCGTGGTCCCCGGGGCC